TAAAAAGTTATATTTTTTCAGTTTTTTTGAGTTTTGACCTTGAAAATGACCTTGTCGCAAATTTTCATTATCACATTTGTAATCAGCGTTAAAAAATACAAAAAATAGTGTAGTTTCAAAAAAATCGGAGGGTTCACCTATTCGGAACTTTATCCAAGATTGATAAGGGGGGAAAAAACTGTAGTTACTTATTTACAGGAATTTCTAATTTAAATTATAAAGTATCTAAAGTTACGTATTCTCTCTTATCTCGCAGATGCATGTGCTCGAGCGGATACACCGGACAAAATTGCGAGAGCGACTACATCCCCTGCGATCCGTCACCATGTGAAAACGGAGGCTCGTGTCATCAGCTGGGCGAGCTCGGCTACGCGTGTCACTGTCCCGAAGGTGAGTAAACTTTTTTTTTTTCTACTTCCTATCGCGCCTTAAAATCTCTCATCGTACTCTCCCAATTCCAGTGAAAGATGAAACTTTTTCGTATCAACGCGTACGATCTCCTCGCGTACATATTTCGCTCCTCTTTTTCCCGAACTCGCTGTCATCCCCGTGTCACATGTGTGTGATGCCATTTGTCAAGATTAAGGAAAATGAATGGCAGAATCTACGGAGATTTTCATTATATTGTGGAGTTTTAAAAATTCTCTGTGGAATTAATTACATGTCGCGGAGAAATATAATTTGACGTCTGAGAGAGAGAGATAGAGAAAGAGACGATCTCTTCTCCTCCTTTCTTTGTCTCCTGTTTCCGGAGCGCGGGATAAATAATGACTTTCGTTCTGTCATATTGAGAATCTCGAAATTTCGCGATTTCCGTGAAAACCGTTTCGTAAACTTTTCTCACGAAGCGTTTGTTTGTGCGACATTTGGGTGGTACAAAAGTCTTCGCCGGTCGGTTAATTACGGATGTGTCTCGATAACTCGCGGGATTTTCGAAGCTTTTCGGAGATTGTCACGCGTTCCACTCTGTTTGTTCCAAAAATACGAGAGAAAAACCACGAGAGAGAAAGAGAGAGAGAAAAAAAGTCTCTCGCACGGCAGGGCAATGATTACTCGGTGCAACAGGTACAATCTCGGCCAGGGGTGTCGGGCACGGCCATTTACGTATACGTGTGTATACGCGGTGGATGGTTAATGTAAAGCCTAGGGTCAGCCTAGCGTGGCCTTCTCGCTCCCCGGATCACAATGCGTGGTCCTCTTTTTCCCAGGCGGACCACGACCATGGCGACCCCACCTTCTACTTGGTCTTGCTCCTTTACTTCCCCTGTCTTCTCCCCCACCTCTTCCGTCCACCTTGTGCTGGCGCACCTTCTCCCGTTAAAGAAACGCGAGCGAATTTTGCCCTCTCGCAGGTGGTTCTTCGTTACTGATCGTTACGCGCTTCCTGATATTATAAAAAGACGTATATATGTATACGCGATGTTACATTGTAGAATATAATGTGTGTAATTTTTTAAATTGCGTACATTGTTGATTTTATTTTTTATAACTATGTATACAGGTTGGTAGGTTGAATTTTTTATTTATTTAGACACGCAAATATTTTCAACGTCTTAATCACATTCGTAAATTGCTTTTTCTATACATGTACATTTTTAATTTGCATATACGATTTAATACTTTATAAATAAATACTTTATAATGCTTTAAAAATATTATAAAGCATAATTCAACATTTTTTTAATTACAATAACAAAAAAGTCATTTGATTTTAAAGGCATCGATATTATATTAAATTCCCAGAACGCTAAATCTTGTTTCGTTTAATCGAACCTTTTTCGGGTTACCGGGCATCTATAAATCCGCGGACATTCTTGGCGATAAGATAGTGGGGAGGCAAGAAATTGAACGTTCGCAGAATGTATTTGTGTAACTTTGCTCACGCGTGTCGCCGCCGTGTATTTTACCTTACATTAAATACAAAGTGCCGCTTTGTGCCTGCCATTTGTCTCGGCAGGCATTCGAGAAGCCCTCGTCCGAGGCCTCCATCATCTGAAGAGACCTGCCTGTATAACTACACGCACCATGGTTCTTATTTCGATCATCCTTTTTCCCGGCCTCTTCTCGTTTTATATCTCAAACGAGGTTGGCGCGAACGGGGCCGCCCGTCATTATCGCCTTTTCCGCTCAAGGCGACCGACGTCTTCCGCGGAAGGCACACTTGCTCTTCCCGCTCCCGTGACACTCCAATAAGTCCGCGCCGGGATCGAAACTCGAAGAAGGCGTGCCCCAGTCATGGTGTCGGTGGTGAGTCGTTAGTCCGAGATGGTTGTGCCCGGTCATAACTATTCCGGATTCTGCCTACCGCGAGGAGTCGCTGAACTTCCTCGATCGGTGCTCGAGAAGTTTCCTCTAGGCTCTCGTCCCGGTATATTACCGTCGTAAAGATCCCGTTTTCTTCATTTTTCTCTACTCGCGTTCCTACTTTCCATTCCTCTCAGCGTATCGATTCTGCTTGTAACAGTTGCGCCTGATTAATTACCAGCATAAATGCTTAGTAAACATTTAGGAGATTTTAACATAGTATTTATTTTTCTGTTTTTATTTTTATTTATTAGTTTTTTTAACATAGTATTTATTTAACATAGTATTTATTCGTCTACAAAATAGGTTGCTAAAATTCTTTAATTAAAAAAATATTTATTAAATATTTTCTAGTGTTTATAAGAGAATGTCATTAGATGTCATATAATTTCTATCGAGATGAAATTCGACAGCATCGCAACCTTTTCGTTTGAAATGATTTACTCGCGTAACAAGTTATAATGGTTCAATTTCCAGCATCCCGCTCTTTTAACTCTCATCCTTTGACCTGCCCGTTGCCACTTCGTGCCGAGCACGAGCCACCACCCTCTTCTCTCGCTCCATTTTACGTCGCGTGCGATTATAGCGTCTCCTTTCTAAGGATCTAATCCCTGACTAGCGAAGGATTTCCCTCGCGTCAAGCGATCCGATCACGCCTCCTCCATTCGATTCCACTAATTAGAAACTGCTCTATCGAACAGTTGGTTAAACGATTAACTAGAAAATTGATTGGTCGAGAGAGAAGGAAAGACGATGCAAATGAAGAAAGAAAGGTGGAATGAGAGGCTGGGTGAAAAAAAGAGAGAGAGAGAGAGATACCTCGGCTCGCTCTTACAATACTCGTTTTCTAACTGCCATTTTTTCTTTTTTTCTCGTTCCGATTCCATCATTACATTCATGCACACATACAGAGATACAGAGTGTACGAATTGGAGATGAGAGAAAGGGAGCGAAGAGGAGTCTTGTACCTGCGACGATTGTACCTGCTCGGTGAAGTTCTTGCGGAGGAATTAAATCGTCGATTTTATCTACGCCGCGCGACGATCGGCAAGAAACTCGAATTTATTGTTGAAGTTGTACGTACTTTGTACCGGCGACGCCAACCGAAGGATTGAATAGTCTCGTGAGAGTTTCCATCGATGCTCTCACACCGATTAATTTGTCGATCCCACTTCTTATCGTTCGCGACAGCAATTATATTCGATGACTCCATCATTTTCTGCCCTTCAAGTATTTCTTATATATTCTCATTGTTATGTTTACATTTTATTTCGCTTTAGACGGAGTAACGTAAATTCATAGTTTCATATTTTTTACTCCCGACTGCTGCCAACCGCAGGTTGTTATTTATTAGCTGTTTCATTTCGTCCAACAATAAGTTGAATAGTGTACTTATAATACAAGTTAATCTTTCTATTTTATCACGTTAAATTTTTATGATTATGTAAACAAAAAGATTTAAAGCATGACTTATTAATATTATTGATATTACATTATTAATATACATTATTAATATTATTATACAATATTATATAATAAAAAAAATATTATATTATATAAGATTAGAATTATATTATATTATAGAAGACAAAAAATTTAAAATCTCTTATTAAAACGAAAGTATGAAATACACGCAAATTAATGTTTTTTTTTGATACACTTAATAACTGTGATGAAACAATCCTGTATGACAAATAAAAAGATATTTAATTATCTTCAGTTAATGACCTTGACATGAAAGGCTGTTCAAGCTCGTATACTGTCGACATGAAAAATGTATACGAGCTTCCTTATCAATTAAAAGCTAGCATTTTACTTTTATTGAACGGCTACCATCCCATTTCTCTTAGCAGTTGCAATGAAACCAATACAAGCTGCTGCTTAATTAAAATCAAACAAGTCCTGCCTGTACGCACGATCGAATCGATCTATCCGATCTATTTTACCGCGATCGATGTCGGAAGATTGAGTACATTTGCTCGCTCGTCATGCTCTCCGTGTAATTTCTATAACTGGTTTACAGCAAGCACGTATATACATACATACACATTTAAGTCAAAAGGACACACGATATGTTAAAGTTATGGTATTCGTTGTAAAATTACATTCGCGTGATCATTTTATGGATTCCCCATATGATCTTTTATCACGTGAAATTTTTTCATATCGGCTGCGAATTGAATAGTAGAAAAAAAATAGTATAAAAAAGAAATAAATTATTTCTTACTCTTCCAAAGAGAAATATGATCTCTCTCGTTATTAGTTTAATATAGATTACTTATCGCTGCATAAATCGCACGTAAAAAGTTTCCACACGTAAAATTGTAAAGTATTGTCTCTCACACGTGGTTGAGCAAGAGAGAGAGAGAGAGAGAGAGAGAGAGAGAGAGACACGAAATGGATGGATGGGTTATCCGTTCCCGGCTGATTTATACCATTGCTCGAGCACACATAAAATGCGTAGCACGACGAACGAGGGACTGTGGCGAAGGGACTGGGAAGGGAGAGCTTGCAAAGTAAAGTGCGCGTTAGTTTCGCCGTTTTTGCCGTTTCTCCTGGGGAATTGTTGCGGAGAATTTATACGATAAGAAATGTGTCAAGGATTAAGGGCAATGGAAGGAAAAAAAATACATACAAAAATCGAGTAAAGATACTTGTTTCGATTTTTATCTTTTTTTTCAATTTTTAATTTTAGCTTTTAAATTAATCAAAATATTGATATTGATATTTGAAATGTCAGAAGACACGATATCTTCCAATTAAATTCTCCGCATTATTCGTTTAACAGACAAACGTACGATGTGGAACATCGTACGTTCCTCTTCCCCGTGTGCTCGCCGAATACGAAAAAGCGGTACTTTCATGCCATTGTACACCCGGAAACAGGCGAATAATCGACCGTGAGTTTTCCGTCACGCGTCGCGATCGATCCGCTGATAATTATTACAACGGCGCGCGATAACTCGCGCCTCGTTCCCACGTGTCGTGTTGTATCTACCATTCCTACAACGGTACACGAATTTTAACGCCGAGGTACGTGCGTGCCTCTCTCTCTCTCTCTCTGTTTCTTGCCACCCACACTTGGT